GGTAGAAGCAGATCACATCATCATGCGTGTGGCCATGGTGTCAAGTAGATGGACGGCAATGATGCGAATAGTTTGATTTATGTGTAACACGATGACAAGATCGACATCCCTCGCAGTCTAATACAGTGGAAGTGGCTAGTTGAGCCGGACAAGATGATAGTCTTCTGCTACCTGACCTGACCTGTAGGTATATCACGATCAACTTCACGCGACCCTTTCAAGACAAATGCCGCGATTACTAGCTACCTTTGTGCTGAGACAATGGTTTGATCTAGGTAGGGCCTTGCATGCGCCATTTACACATGCACATGCCACCTAAACAAGTACTTTACATTACCTTAGGCATGCACTGCCACTGGTCTGTTGGGGCTGGAGCCTGCTTGCCCACCTCCGTCCAGTGGTCCCGAAATGTTCCCCTCTCACACCCCGCTGCCGTTGCTTTGCATTCGCCGATCTTGGAGCCCATGATTTTATCGGGAGCCACAATCCTACGATCTAAAGCTGTGCATATCGTTCGCATCGATTCGAGACCCTGTCTGCTTTCTTTTATATCTCATCCCTAGCAATACCTAGGTAGTCAGCCATGTCCACTAGAAACGCATCATTCCCATATCCTCCAGTCTCGGCCGATAAAGACGCTTTGCGAATCCTTACCATAGAACCTGGAGACTTTTCTGACCAAGTGACATGCACCCTTGATTCTTTGCTCTTCAGCGACAAGCCCAAGTATGTCGCTCTCTCCTATACCTGGGGAAGCCCGTACAGAGACAACGCCAACCTCCCGTTATCGCGGACGGCGACAACAGTTTCTTCAGCTCAAAATGCCATTTCACAACCAGCATCCCCGTCACATAGGCCCGGGGTTACTGCCTCATTGACCACTCTCCTCCCCCGACAAAGGACAATGTCTTCCTTCTCACCATCATCGACTCAACCAATTAGCGCTCCCTCCCCTCCCATCACGGTCAACAACCACCCCTTTCATATTCGGCACAACCTCCATCTCGCCCTTTTACATCTCCGATCCTCCACCCACCCAATCAGCATCTGGGCGGATGCCGTGTGCATCAACCAGTCGAACACCGCCGAGCGCAACAAGCAGGTCTCCCTCATGTCCTTCATCTACACTCGCGCCAGCCACGTGGTGGTCTGGCTTGGCACGAAGAACCACACCATGAACCACCCGGCCGCAGCTTCATCCCCTGGCCCAGCCGTTTACCGATCCATGTCACTGGAGTGGAAGGCCGGCCAGACTCAACACCTGGCCGCTTGCCTGGTTCCCCAGACCACCACCCCTTATCCCGGTCGCAGCCAGCCGGCCAGGACAAAAATACGGTGTTCTCCGAAGCCCCCACAGGGCACCCTGATGCGGTTGGCAGAAAGTACATACTGGACACGGCTGTGGGTGGTGCAGGAGGTTTGCCTGCCGAGGTCGCTTTTGGTTGTGTATGGGTCGGATATCTGGGCTTACGAGGAGTTTCAGCAGTGGGTTCAGGTTGGTCAAAGTGGAAGCGTGGCAGGAGGGCCGCAACGGCTGCCACAGCCGCCCCCACGGCATACCGAGTCCGAGCCTGTGGCTAATATCCTAGCCCCGATGAGGAGACTGCTGGAGACGAGGGAGCAGAGGCACACAAGCATGATGACGCTAGAGAGCTTAGTAGAGAGGTTTGGAGGAAATGAGTGTAGTGAGTTGAGGGATAGGATCTACGGGCTGTTGGGGTGTGCGAATGATACGCCGACCACTTCGGAGGATCATGTCGAGCAGAGGTTGAGTCGGCTTAGTATTACGCAGTCATCACAAAGAGCAGTCTCACCGCGACCAAGGGGCTTGGCTGGATTGCTAAAGGTGGACTACAACCGCTCGTTTTATGATCTTTGGAGGAGCGTGGTTGGCTTTGTATTCCACCATACTAAAAGCACCAGTGGGAAGACAGGAGTCGAGTACCTCAGCGGCGAGGAACGGCGCATCACCATTGCCAGGACAGCCGGTATCATTCAACGGGCTCTTGGTCAGAAGCTAGACGACGAACTGTCCCCTCTGGAGAGACCCCAGCGGGATCCAGAGTCTATCAAGGCGGTGGGGTACATAGCAGGGGAGATCGTTCAACTTGGCCCGGCATACGACGAGTTGGTGGGTTCATTTCGTGCTCGCCAGGACTGGACGGCTTGCTGGGATGAGTTTTACGACAGTCACCAAGTTTCAACGCTCAGACGCATTGACGAGGAGTACATGGCCAGAATCTACGGCTACGATGAAGACAATCTCGATCGTGTTCGAAATATTCCAGACCCGTTTGTCATTGGTTCCCTTGTGCCAGTCGAGAGGAGAACAGCAGAAGGTGGAATATCGGCAGCGCCTATGGATGGGACAACACGCTCAAGCAGTGATCTAAGCCACTCCATATCATCAGAACACGAGTCCTTCTATGTCAACCGAGACGAAGAAGAGAGGCACATCGACAAGGACCCCCGGATTTGCCTTGGGACAGAATACTTTATCGGTCTTGTGCCCCCAGCAGCAAGGGTGGGAGATGTTATTGTGCGGTTCTGGAACTGCAACGCTGCCGTTGTGATGAGGCAGCTAAGTACCAATACCCCAGATCTTACATCGGGTCCAGTATTCATGTTGGTCGGACGGGCAGACATTGCCAATCCGGCGGACATTTCGGGCAAAACTACGGACAAAATTGCCGCTTCTCCTGAGTACGACGCGCACTTTGAACGGTGCGCGGCTATGGTTGGAACCGGGGTCGGTGACGCGTCTTCTATTCGTCCAGCTGGCTACGGGGAGGGGTGTTCCCAGGAGAAGTTGGGGGCCATTTATGTTGATATGGGCCTGAGGACTTTGCAGTTGATCACAGCAAATATCGAAGTTTGAGTCGGACGTTGGGGGCTGAAGATAAGGCTTGTCTATTTTGGGATACCGGGGAAAGGGAGAGATTTGATTGGATGGGTCTGTCACCAATTTGTCCAGGGCTTTTTTTCACGTGTCGAGTGCACCACTTTGCAGCTCGTGGTGCTGTCGGTGAACATTTGCTTGTCACATCCAGTGGAAGGCTGCCTCACACGTCGTCGACTCCAGAACAAGTAACATGGGACATCATAACCGCCACTTTGCTGGCGATCCGCACGCGTTGGATGGTGTTTGGAGTCCACCAACAAGTGCTGCTAAGTAATTCTCATCGTATGACTAAGGTAGCCAATGGCTAACAAAGATCGGCACAAGCTTCTGTGAAGAAGACTACGCAGTCAGTAGATATTTTGCCGAGTTTATAAGCACTCTCACCAACTTGGCATATGGCACGTACCAAAAATCCGGTCTCTATCTCGTCTTTCTTTTGCTGACATCAGCAACTCAGTCTACTACGCCCTCCAATGGATGTACGGCCCCGGCAGCAAAGGCCTCTTTTCCCCAAGATATGACTTCATGTCCGTCTCCCTCCTCGTCCTCGGCATCGGTTCTTTCGCCTTCCACGCCACACTCCGCCAGCCTATGCAATTTGCCGATGAGCTTGCCATGTTGGGGCTTGTCTGGTCGCTGCTTCAAGGGGTTCTCACGATCGGAACGAAACGGGACAGGATACTCAACTGGTCCATGGCTGTTGGCTTCCCGCTCTTTTCGGCGTTTTACATCTCCAACGGCAAGATCATTTACCATGCTTCAGCGTTTGGGTTGGCGTTGGTTCTGATCACCATTCGTGGGCATTATCTGTTTCTTTGGCGGAACCCACCGTTTCCGGAGGAGAAGCGAGTATCGTGGAAGAAGAGGGGCAGGAGGACATTGTGGTTGTTGTTGATTGGGTATGCGCTCTGGAACGTCGACTTGGAGTTCTGTGCGCAGCTGAGGAGCCTGAGGGCAAAGATGGGATTGCCTTGGGCGTGGGTGTTGGAATTACATGGCTGGTGGCATCTGTTGACTGCCATTAGTGCGAGTCGGTTTATGGACATTGTGAGGGAGGTCCAGGACGAGCTGAGGGAGAGCAGTACCGGCGTGACAGGCAGTGGCCTCAGGAATGAAGGGCAAAAGAAATCGAGGTAGGGGCTGCATTCTGTCAGTTTCCATTGCGTCAGGGTAAACAGCCTTCACCAAGCTTTAAATATTCTTTGAGGCCACGGTTAACGGACCCAAATAGGACGCCCTGGCGGAAGGGTTACGCCAGAACTGTTGAAGCACCCTCCATGCATATTGAAACTGACATCGGGTGCGATAGAGAAGGCGGCCTGGGTGTAAATGAAGGGCATATTTGCCAATTCTGCCGACCAACCTTCATCGGAGTCTTGGGCGATACAGAGAGCATTTATCCAAAGAATGGAAGTCTACTACCATAATATAAACAATTACACAGGCGTCCTGAAAGGTTTTGGGAAGATTGGCGAAAGCGATACTCCTGTAGGCCGTCTCAATAGATACCTATCTTTGCCCATGCTCGTATGAAATATTCCCGGGCCCCAGAAGTAGCTCAACGTGGAATATAAGTCTGCCGTCTCGGCTGTTGCTTTGTTTAGGCTGGCGGTCTGTATTAGATACAACGTTGGCACCTGCAAGGCGAATTTACGCAGGTCAACAAGTCTATCCGGTGAGGGACTGGGTTCACCGCTTCCAGCCGATAACTGGGATCCTGAATCTTCTGGCCCCAATAGTCATGGCTTTCCAGTGGGCGTTGGCCAAGCTAAACGAGCTTTACTGTAGATGTGTTCGGATCTGCATCGAACAAACCAAATGCTGGCAGTTTCTAGGGTGGTTTCGGCCGAGGCAGTTGACAGCTTCTTCTTTGTTGGAATTCCATTTCGTGTGGCGGCTGGATCGTCTATCGTACAGTTAGTTGACATGCAGGAGCCCCTATTTCCTTTCCCCTTTCCGTCACTCGCCACCTCCGTCAACGGGGCAACCCCCCATCTCCACCAAAGAAGAAATCCTGCCAAGACCACTGCCGACTCATGAATCGCGCACACATGAGATTTTCACCATCATAACCTCACCACCTCACAACACAGCGTCAGACTACCTGAGATGGCCGAGCGGTCCAAGGCAAAACCCTTAAATCCAAACTCCACTCCAACAGTTCCGTGGTCTCGAAAGGGGCGTGAGTTCAAATCTCACTTTCGTCATGAAACATACATACACCCATATCTCCACACTTCTCTTTTGCTTTTCATTCATGATGATCATATCTCTCTTTTTCTTCCGTCATTCATCCGAATGTATGCACTTCACCTCTTCTCCACCAACAGATCTAGTGTATCTCGTACCTCAACTCTAGATCTACCAGATCATCATCACCACCAACATCTTCTTTTTTTTTCTGGGCATCCTCAGCTGATCTCAAACTCGCTTGCGAAAACCGGAACGCTCGGAGATGAACAAAGCAGATAATAGGCTTGAAAGAAAAAGAATAACCGGGGGTAAAATTTGTTATGCAAGGTACGCGTTCCACGTAAGTTGTCGCGTACCTAGTCTATCGTGAACAAGGTTTGGAAATCACGTTTTCCCACTCATTGGGCGCCACGAAGAGCAAAGTGGGAACCCTTTTTTTTTTCCCCTCTCATCATTCAACGGTGGGTAATAATTTTAGTGTACAAATCAGAACCCCATTTTTAAAAGATTATCAAATTTCCAAGGTCCAGTTGTGTGCTCTCGTATTTTTTAACCATTTCAGCCCACGTGGCATATGCGGTGGTCTGTTGTTTGTTTTACATACATTAGTGAAAAGAGAAGTGTTGTTGCCTATTGGACCTATTGGACCTAACCAGATGGAGACGATTGTCGACCAGGAGCACGTCAACCGACTCCCAAAATATCCAACTCGTCTCGAGCTTTTGCCCAGCTGTGTAAAGGTGTTGATATTGACATGCGGTTCACTACTATCCGCCTAGGGCGGCGGCACGTCCCGCTCAGCTTGTTGTACCTACTGTATACTGCGCCACGCTGACTTGCTGCGGCAGTCGTGCGGCTTGGTTGCCTTCACGGAACTACCGAGTCCGATCTGTAGTATGATTGTTCGATCGCGTGCGTGGGGCTTATGGAGGTAACTGAGAATAGATAGTAGTTCTTACTGAGCCATTGGGGGCTGTGACGATGTAGCCTCTTTGACTTCGAGATACCTAGAAGAGCGAGCTAGTCTTCGTGGTCGTCGAGATTGGAATACCTTTTAGGTAACACAGCGCCATTTGAAAAGGAGCCAAGGTACCTAGTAGGCAGGTGAACCGTAAGCGAAGCTGTGGTATGCAGATGCAGACCAAGCACACACATACACCTAGCAGTGGGCGTCCTAGACAGAAATTCGAGATCTACCGGTAGGCCTACCTACAATCATCGTCCCCAAAAATAAAGCGAGGTCTTATGCACAGATAGATATACACCCTGGACACGTGCGCTCCAATGTCGTACTATAGTGTATAATAGATGATGGTGGTAGAAGAAAAGCTAAGACCGGGGATACCAGAATGGGTTGTCCGAAGATTACAAGTCTTCTCGTCACCAACGAGATTTGCTCTGATGGTGTGCTGCCCAGACCGGAGGTGTTTCCCCGCTAGAACAAGTCTATTGCAAAGGGATATGCATAAGGCGCCCTGTTTTAAGGAACTGGGCTTGGCACCTGTGAGTAGGGTGCCGAGTTGCCGAGATGTCCAAGTGGAAGCAAACAACCCCTCCATATGATACAGTTTAAAGTTTTTTATGGCCTCTGTGACATGTTTGACCGGGCTAACGCCTGCGTGTTGTTTGACGACTGCCAGACCCTGTTGCCACCAGTCATCCGTGGCTGCGAGATGTGACGGATCACCACAGCTTCGGTTGTATGCCGTTGTCTCGTAAGAAGCACAGATGAGCAGCAGCACAGACAGAACACGGTGATAGGGTGGGGAGCCGTCCGTGTCTTGTGAGTCCACCGCTAGACTGACGTTCTGGCGGTCCGTTCGGGGGCGAGGTAAATGTGACACGGTGTAACAGGCAAATGGTGTCTGAGGCTGGGGACAGGCTGATCGCACGTCGAGTTTGTTGGCAAGAGATTGGCTTGCGAACATCGGACTAGAGTGGATCGACGGTCGTACGCACAGTGCGATTCGCGAAAAAGTTGGGAACCCGTTTGTGCAATGTACTGCGGTATAGGTAGAGGTAAAGCTGTACAATGTAATATCCGGTGTCTTGCTCGATGAGATGCTGATCGGTTTCCTTTCAGCATTCCCCTGACATCAAATTCCGCTGGGGTACGTGTTGCCGAGGGTGTTTCCACGGCTACGTTGCCCGTAGCTTGGCTATACACGTTGCGTGATGAGCAGCTCTTGTTGGAACCCCTTAACGAAACCTGCGAGAACATGACGGAGAGTTGGAATCCCGATAAAGGCTAAATGAGTCAGTGAGGGTTGGCGTACTGTACTCTCATGACTGGTCCCATCAAGGCTACTTGCAGTGTAGTCATGGTCATGTCTTTATTTTCTTGGTATCTGCGAAAGCTCACGGTGTTCCCTACCCAGACAGTTAAATTGGTTCACTACGATAGGAGGGTAGCTGGGGTATCCTACGATAGCCTCGTTAAACCTGTGAAACCCCGCAAGTGAAGTAAACCGGAGCCAGAAACAGAGCAAATTGCAGTGCCGATGACGGTGTTCAGACGCATGAAGCACCTCGCTTACACCAGCACTGTGCGAAGCGGCTTTTCAGGGTCTTATCCCGGTTCACACATGCTCGATTCGTCAGCGGCGGTGGAGGAGAGACAACACGGTGTGGACGGTTGGATTTCTTGGTCGCCAAAACAGGGAACGACGATTGCAAGGATTTGCAATATGCCCATCTAGTGGTCACAGCGCAACCGTGCTGTGCCATATGGACTCTCTCTCATCCTATCCTCTCCAATCTCATGTCAAGAGAAAGAGGCACAGCTGCTGACTGGCAAGGCCTTTCCTGGTTGTTGAGTCTGACGATTGACGAGCTGCTCAGTCGCAGCCGACGGGAGAGAGACACAGGCGGTTGGCAGGTAGGCGCACAACCACATAGCGGGATGTGACCGTGAATCAATGACGCAGTTTCGAGAGGGTGAGATTGGAAAAATTCAGCCAAAAGATCAAACAAAAGAAAAAAGAAAAAGGTTTGTTGCGGACTGACATCTGCAGGGTAATAAGGTGCCTGATGCGTCGAAGCAAAAAAGAACCTGAGCAGTGCCGGATGAGGGGGTCGGCAGCAAGCAGGGCAGCGGAGCCAAATGGCATTTCGGTTGTTGGGCAGGAGGCATGGGAATCCCATGGAATCTGCAGCCATTTGATCATGGGGGGTCGAGGTGGGGTTGCGGTGGGGTACCCCTAGAGCCAATCAAACTCCCTGTCTGCTGCGGTGGACTGGCGTCATCGTGCTGATCCCCAGCGTTGTGGATGCTTCCGGTCTTACCCAAAAAGCCCGCCCGAAAAAGCAGGGGACCAGTGCCTGAGGCAGAAACCCCAAAAAAAAAACACCAATTCGGAGGAGTCGGCCACGGAGCCCGCGCATGTGGCGCATGGGGAAGGAAGAGAGAACAAGTTCGTTGACATAGACATAGCGCTATCCCGAGCCGCCGTCAAAGGTCCAACATATCCAAAGACCTAAAAGCCTCGTATTCATTGTTGGACCACTCGCTCGCGCGGCTAATCCCCTGTCCTTCATATTTTGCACCTCGTCCCGATCGACGTTTCGCCTTCCGCAGCAAGCAACTCAAAACAGGTCCCCGGCCCTCCGCTCCTTGTGACCGCAGTCCACACCGAGCCTGCGAGTGAAATACCCCTCTTGCGCCCTCTTAGGCGAGCAGCCAATTCGTCCGCCCTTGGACGCCGAGAGAAATTCACCGCAGCAGGGCACGTTCTTGCTGATCGCGGGAGGAAAAAACAAGACGCTCGCTCACCTACCGTCTCCTGACCAGCCCGCCAACCTCGCAAACAAGCTCCAACGGTAGCGGAAGCCTACTTTCTGCCGGAAGATTCCGCCGCGGCTTCTCAGAGCGTGACACATCTTCAACTGTGGGCTGGTGCTGGTCCCCTTTTTCTGCCCTCGCACCACCTGCCGCCTCCACGGGGACCCACGACATCCACGAAAAGAACCCACGGAACCCACGACGGCAGCCCTCGACCCACCAGCGCGCCAGTCTTTCGCTGCCACCTCCCTGCGCTACCCTTTCTCACACCAAACACCCCCTCTCCTGTTCCCTTTTTTTTTTTTTTCCCCTGCCACGCCCTCCCGGCCTTCCGCTTCCAAGCACAAGTTGCAGGCTCAACGACACTTCAGCCCTGTGCTACGCAGATTGGCGAATGGTGGCAATAGCAAGGAAGCTTAAGTGACGGTGAAAGAGGAACCGGCTTTTCTTTTTAGTTTTTTTATTTCCTCCATTACATACATCCGCGGCTCTACCAAGACCGCCCATCTCACACTAGCCCAACATCCCACACACCGCTACCTTACCACCGACCACAAGCCATCGACGAAAATTGAGCACCCACTCGTCGAACGGACCCTACAATTTGACTTGACACATCTATGATGGGTGACCTCAGTCCGCAAAAGGCTCAAACACCAGACTGGTCGGATTCGGGATCGGGGACGTCGGGCGACCATGTCGACATTCTTCATCAGCCCGTGCCCACACGGCCTCGGCTTCCCAGTCGAAAGAGCAGCGGCACCATGATCGTATCTCGGGACTCGGCCATTGGTCCGATCGAAACGAGCTTTGCACCGGATGATGTGAGGAGCATGAGTCCGCGAAGAACGAGCGAAGACATTGAGTCACTTGGAAAGGAGGCCAGGGAGGAACTGCAAAGGTGAGCCCGGACGATGCATCAAGACAGATTCAAATCGCCGTGGTGGACATGGGCTAACGGTGTTGCAGACACGCGAAAGCGCTCCAGGACTCTTTGATCGTGCTGTTCAACCGAATAGAGGCCGTCAAGGAAGAACACGACAAGCTTGACAACCACAACAAATTCCTGCAAAAATACATCGGCGATCTAATGACGACGAGCAAAATCACAACATCGAGCAGCCGTGCGAAAAAATAATTTAGTTGCTACACTGAGTTGCGAAAGTCGATTGGACGAAGGATGGAGGATTGAGACCGTCGCGAATGTCAGCACTCGATTATTGCTGGTGACCGACCGCTGCCTCGGGCCTATCGAACCATTGCCTCGACTCGAAATAAGCAACGACATATCCGGACAGAGGGAGATATGAAACTCCACGCTTCAGAACAAGTGATAATTCGGAAATGCTTTTTCTTTCTACAGGGACTGGAGTTTGCTCGCGCGCTTTTCTGTGCGCTTTTTGCTTTTATTTTATTTTCCAAACGATACCACGACGCGCATCTCCGGTTTGGCGGCTCATGGGATAAGAAAAAGAAAGAGATATGACATCCCCCTGGTTTTCAACGGGCAGTCGGGGACTCCTTCAGCGCATAGAGAGATAAAAACGTCTCTAGCAAAGCGAGCGGAAGCAACAGAAAGCGCTCTGTATACTGGACTTGGGATCAAGGGGTGGTGGTTTTGGAGCATTGGGACAACTAACTACATGACACTGGCGTTTAATTTTTTTGTTTGTGTTCTTTGGCGGGATTGTTATTGTCTTATTTTCTTCCTTACTTTTTTGCTTCTTTACTTATTGGAGAAGGAAAAATCCTCCCACTTAGTTCTTTTGTCATCTTCAGAGGGGAGTAAGTGTTATGCTTGGTGGACTGTGTGGATAGGATACTACGTAGGCGTGATTGCTCTGCTGTCATAGTTTGCCCTTTCCGCTTGCAGGATGGGGAAGGCGGCGAGGGCGCGAGCAAGGCAAAGCAAGGCAAGGCATCGTTGTTGACAAATGATCATCAGGTGAACTTGTTTATAACGGATGACTTTTCACAATTAGTGTACACGCCCGTCCCATGCCACAACACTGGGGAAAGAGCCGCCAGCTGGGTTCGAGAAAGCGGAATACGATGGTCCCTGCAGGAGAAAGGGTCACGAGCTTTTTGCCGCTGTGGAGTGGACTGTTTCGGCATTCGCTGACACCTGATGTCTTGGTGAACCATACGGGACTGACGTCATTGGGAGCTGTTACTCAGCGGCTGGGTTGGGGGGCTGAATTAAGATTTTGGAAGGGCAAAAGCGGATATACGGGAGTGGTGGGGGCCGAGGTCGGTACCTAAAATTGAGGACGGATGATCTCCATAACACAAAACAAAAACGTGGAGTTTTTGCATCTTGATGAATCCTTCTCGGAAAATAATGATTTCTTAACATGGAATGACGACGGGAAGTGTTGAGTTGAGGCTCGGGTATGCATTCCGCTGTGGCTTGGCTTGCACGCCGAGGGTGGGATTTGGGACGGTTGTGGCGCTTGGCTTTGATGGTTGCATTCTGATCCGGACCAGGGACAATGACAATGGTCACCTCGAGGCATAGATGAGTCAGAGAAATAACGAAGCGGCATGATGGGAGGATCATTTGGTAACATCAGGGCGCTGTTTACAGTGGCGTGGTGTTGAGTTGCAAGTATATGGGTGCCAAGGGAGGGATGACACCATGTTGCTGCCAACTCTCCCGTTGTTTGTTGGCTTTCCAGTGGGTGCGAGACGAAACTCATAAACGGTCGAGCCGACCACAAATGCTAACCACAAGCCAATCATCATAATGAGCTTGTTAACAGCCCGCGTGGCGCAATTGGTTAGCGCGTCAGACTTTTAATCTGAATGTTGCGAGTTCGAGTCTCGCCGTGGGCATCTCAGTGATACTACACCATCTTCAATGCAAGTGATTGTTTGGAATCGGTTCAAATCTTTTTTGTATTGCAAGAATGGTTGCCTCAAGTCATTAGGTAGCATATCTGTAGAGTCGGCCAGCATGTCCTGGATCGAAAGACTAGCACTGTAAAGTGGGAATAATAGCATTGAAAGATATTTAATAGTCTTTAAAAAAAAGTGAAGAAGCTTAAAAAGATAACTAATTAGCCTTAACAAATCTAGAGAACACCTTGAAAAATACTCTAAACGTATCAAAAAATAGTAATGAGCCCTAAGAAGATAGTCGTTAGGCTTTTCTACTATTTTCCAAGGTGTGATCCTGGCTTGCGGTACCTTATTTTGTCCACGGCGTAACCGGTTCTCTGGGGTTGCTAACCGAAGGTTTGTCCTGATAGTTTCGCGGGACAAAGTTTCTGCGGGTATCAGCAAGGATGCGAGTATATTTAAGTTGGCTTTAGGCGTAGGGCTTGACTACCTTATATGAAAAGAACAAATCATTACTTAAGTGATGAGTCTGTTTCACTTGACTTCTTGGACCTAAGGCTTGCAGGATTGGTGAATCGGAGGCTCAGTACAGCATCTTGGCCGCTGACCCACAGTCTATCATTCGACGGGATATTGTTGGAAGTTTAGGTATCCAACATTATTTTCTGATATTCATCCATGAGGCTCGAGTTTACTGGTAGGTGATATTGCAGTTTCATTGTGTGAAGACGAATGTAAGTGGCGTTTTCCCAGCTGCTCCATGTTTAGCCTTGAAAACGCGGTGTTATAAAACCCTAGATGCGCCTTTTCGGTTTGCAAGATAAACTCTTCTGGGGGTTTTACGCCCTCACTTAACAAAGGTTAATGGTCTGCGTTGGTCACGGAGCGAGCCACAGTGCAAAGTTTGACGCCTCGCGGTCTGCTGGTCAGAGTATTAAAGACCTCTCAGGCCAGTAAACTCGACAGAGGAGCGCAGCGTTCTAGACAATCTAGTTGTAATCTTGCCTTCTGGATATTCTTCAGTCAGGCTTGTGCTGTATTCATATTGTCATATCCGACATATGAGCCTAGGCACATAGAAACTCCGTTGAAGACAAGATAAGTAGGTATGGAAGGTGGGGTGTCCACAGCGTTCGGGAGCGCCTGCGTCAGCGTTCGCGAGCGCCAAATAGTCTTGCTGCTGACGGCTTTCCAGAATGATTGCAGCACCATGCCCCAACGAATCGTGACGGACTGGGGCGAGATCCGGGCAATCATCACCCGGACCTCGGAGGCTGGCAGAATGCCCACCTCCCTTCATATCAGTAAGTGAGAACTTACAGAGTCTGGAGCGAGCGGCGATACTCAACCCTTTCTCGACACACAGGAATTGACGATCCACGACCACCTCGCGAATTGAGTGAAGATCAGCCTCCCGCCAATGTCTGGATAACGGTAACATACCTGGGACAAGAAGGCGAACCGGTAAGTTATGGATCCCTTCGTCCTGTATCTTTTAGTCTATCTAACACCAATGGCAATGCAAGGATACCAGTGTACAATATAGATTGCATGACGGGAACTGGCGCGGACTTTACGTCATGTTGATCACCCTCAGCCTTCCTCAATTCCTGGCAATGACGGCAGGTGAATCTCGGATTTTGGTAAGTTGGTCTATCCTTGAGGACGACGGAGTGTTGGCTGATTCTTTATTAGCAATCTGATCCTGCAGCCCCAACTGCTCCTAATCAACCTTCTGATCCTGTTTATCCTCATGGAAACCAGCAAGGAAGCAACCAAGGACAGTCTGCTCGTCGAAGCCAGGAGCAAGGTCCCCAAGACCACACTCCACAAGCCCAAGAAGAGAATACGGAGCAACAAAATAATTGACAAGCAGAGTTGACTCAGTGATGGGGTGGGAATACATGTACATTGGGGTGACACCATGGGCAGGAACCATGTGAGAGTTGCCACGGGAAGTTTGCGTTCTGGTTTGATAAGTCTCAGGGTGAAAAAAGAGAACGATCTATATAGCGAAATCACGAGACAACGGTATTCTCACTGAGTACCATCATTGTATACGATCTTAACCATGGATGGTAATCCAACACAACCTTTCTCGCTATCTTTTTATAAGAGACTAGAAAAATCTCCAAATGGAATCAGGCCCCTTCGCCTTCTTGAATCCTCCGTACCACCTGCAGAGTGGATACAAGATGGCCAGCAGCAACGCCCAGGAAAGAAAGAAGCCCCACAACTGATCAACCCCGAGAGCGGGCTGCTTGCTGAAAGGGTCACTAACCTCTCTGCCGATCAGCGCAACGATAGGGATTGATAGAGCCCCCAGCAGGAGGATATGAGTGATGTAGAAGAAGAGGGCGGATGTTCCATAGACCAATAGAACATGGAAAGCCTTGCCTGCAAACAGGGGAGGAAGTGTGGCAAAGAGTGCGATTAAAAGGTGGTTACCTGCCATGGTGAAGGCCCAAAAGGCCACATCAGGGGGGTATTTGGTGAGGTAAAAGAACGACTTGACCGAAGCAAGATACTGATTCCCACCATGTTGGTGTTCCGCCATGTCCAAACACCCCTCAGACAAGTTTCCAAAGCGGAAAAGCCTGGTGAAGACAAAAAGAAGTGTAAAGCCAAGTCCGGCAAGAGTATTCCCCAGAGCGATGGCCTTTGCACTCCATGCCCGCGCCAGGATGATCCTCCCATAGAGTAACCCCAGGACCGCGAATGACATCCAAGCAAAAGGCGGAAATCCAGACTTCACTCTCTCGTCTATGATGGGGTAGAACCAAATCTTGACCCAGTCACTCTCAGGCAGCTTGGGTGTTGGGTCAATACCGCATCTGCCTCCTGTAGGACTCAGCCATATGTTCCACCATATCATCACCACGGCCCCAACCGCCAGCATCAAATTGTGAATATGCCATGCGATATCCGCCGCCCGAATGATTTCGACATCAGGCGCCATCTCCTCGCCCCCATTCAGCTGCGGTTGTGGGCCAGGAAGCAAAGGCTCAGACACGTCCTCTTTCTTCCTCAACGGCAGCACCTTCAGCACCGCAAGCGCCAGTAATCTTTCCGTCTTGGCCACAGCCATCCAAGTCAACCCAGACAGGAGGTAATCCGCCGCCAGACTGAACAAGACCATGTTCAAGAACCACACCTTCCCACCCGAAACCGCCAGCCCAAGCACAGTGGATATCGCCGTCAAAACCACCGCCCTAAACAAGAAGTGCCAGGCCAACTGTCCCGTCGCCCATCTCTTATCTGGTGGACGGGAAGTACGCGATCTACCAAAATACACCACTCCCATTCCTAGCAGAAATGTAAAACCCGGCGCGCATAGATGTGTCAGTGTTCTGATGACGTAGGCGGCCGGACGGTTCCATTCGTGGACGCGCGCGGAGTCGTTCTCTCCGTCGATGGCGGTGCCATGGGGCCAGGACCTGAGCATCAGTGAGGTGTGATCAAGCGCCATGATGGCCATTAGGAGACCTCTGAGGAGGTCAGGGGCTAATGCGCGGGCGGGTGATGGTGGAGGCGACGAGGTTGGAGCAGGTCTGCTGACGGAGCCGTAGTTGAGGGTGCTTTCTTCATCTTGGCAGGGGGGCGATAGGGTCGGGCTGGCATCTGATTCGAAGGAGGTTTCTTGGACGGCAGCGTCAGGTTGCGGTGGCAGCGTGATAGGGGACGTTGGTGGCTTCATTGTTGGTGGTTGCCGCTGGGACGCGTGTCCACTGGGCGATTTTCTTTCTGGCGCGTATGCGCCAAAGCAAAGACGAGCAAAGCGCTGTAAAGAGGTGTGTCCTTCAGCAAGTTACGGACTGTGTATAATCGGGGATTACGGGTCTCGGAATTGTCGGAGTAAATCGCTGTCTGAGACAAGCAGTCGCAGAATCAGAGCATGCAGAGTGCCGTCATCAAAGGCACAGGTGCAGAGCACTGACCAATTGGTGCTGGTTGTGGCTTTACCCCAGATTTTAGGGCTGAGGTGGCTTTGCTTGGCATCCATCTCTCTGGGACCAAGGCAAGACCCTAACCCCTGTGTAGAGGCAGTGGGTTCCCAGAGGTGAAATCACATGCGGTCTGCGTTGACTATGACGCAGTGGTATGGGACTAAGGCCCCAAGAAAATTGCGTCGTCGGATAGGTACCTATCTCCCGGGTTTATTCCTCCTCTGGCTCAGAAAGCAGACCGCTCAGTGACTGAACATGCACGCGGAAAGCCCTGCAGTTCATCCTCTCACGAGAACGAGTCGTTCTTTGAGAGATCTAGGGGTCCTCTAGGTCAAGTTTTCTTACAAACTGATCTTTTCTTTTTCAATGGTCAGTCACGACAACTTCGCTGACAATTATTGCTTTGTGGTAATATTGATCGCATGAGAGCGTCAGCCTCTCAACAACCTTGAATCACGAGTTAATCATAAAAACACAACAATTCATTACTTTGCGTAGTATCAGGGGCAGCACCTTAGGTATATTGTACTACATAATTCTCTACAATCTAGTATAAATACAGTACTGACGTGGTTTGTTTGTCTAGCGGGTACTTTTCAAGTCTCCATACGAGGGTTGGCTTAGTATTTCGGTATCGTTTCTGAATGGTGGAAGCCCCTGCCATAACCCTTGTGATCGTAAAATGCTATTGGCCGGAAGAAGTGGGGATGGGTACACGCTAGACAAACAAACCAGGTCAGTATTGTACACAGGCTACCTGACCCAGGACTAACCCTAACCCAGTAAGAAACGGGAAATGGGCAGACATCCAATACATGGGCCCAAAACATACCATTTAAGTGGTTAGGTATTGGGTCATCTTCATGGTTCTTATGCAATTTAGGTAGCTTTGTTGACATCGTAATATAATCGTTTGTGCATTTCATCACTGTTTGTGTAAAACCTTTCCTCGGCGTGTTGATTGGTGCTCATTGGACCCGCGACATCACGTACCTGACTGCTTGGAGGGCCCATGACCCAGCGATGCAGATATTTGACCATTGTCAG